TCTTTATTTATTTTTATAATATTAAAGAGTATATGAGTCATGCAGTCTGGCACTTCCTTTGCAGAACTGGAGAAAACAACAAGAAAACTCTACTTTACAATAGAAGAATTACGTATACGTGATACCATACAACGGTGTCCTAGATTACATTAAACTGTGCATTCCCTGTTAAATGTAAATATACTTTTTACTATACAATAGATGTTGGTTAATGAGCCAACTTCTGCAGGATTAATACAAATCATATAACTAATTAATATTTTTGCAGATAATTACGACTTGGTGTCATGATCTTGAGCAGGTCAGATAGGAGACCTTGGCCAGAGTTAAAGGGACACTCCAGACCACTTTATAAAACTGCAATAATTACCTTGCAGGGTTAAGTCCTCCTCTAGTGGCTGTCTAGAGGGACTTCCGCCACTAGAGGGACAAACAGTGTTTTTAAACGTAGCTGGACGTCCTCATGCTATGTGAGGACCTCCAGCGTCACCGGAATCACCATAGCAAAGCATTGAATACTGCTTTCCTATGGGGAGTTTTAGAGCACGGCCATTGCCGCACATGCGCATTAGGTCTCCCCCACCAAATGTCAGCGTGGGTGGAGCCTGACCCAGCGCCAAGGGACATCGGCACTGGATTCAAGTAAGTCACTGAAGGGATTTGAATCCCTTCAGCAACATAGGATGGCAGGTGGGAGGGAGGGGGGCACTGCAGGATTCTGAAGTGCCAGGAAAACGGATATGTTTTCCTGGCACTGGAGAGTCCCTTTAACATTAGAGGCTTTATTGGCAAGTTTTGACATAATTGAAACCGGATATCCTATAAATTAATTTATAGGGAAAAGGAAAATAGAAGTTATAAATAAAATTATAGGCAAAGGGGGACAGAGAGAAACAGCCGTTTAGGCAAAATGTTCTAGATAGATTATAGACATAATGTTTGTAAATAAGAAAGGTATAGATGGAAATATAGCTTGAATCGTATGACAAGTAATAGAACAAGAAGGTTTCAGGAGAATAAGTAAAGCAGAACTGCAGTGAATCGGCCCCCTCTTGGAAGGAGTACTGATAGAGTATGAAAAGAACACCTTGCAATATTATGCAGGTTGGTATAAATCTGGATGACAGGATATAGCAGGTTAGTAGCGTCAATTAGGCTGGTTTAGAGCAGGTTGGTATAAAGCAGGTTGACAGGATATAGCAGGTTAGTAGCGTCGGTTAGGCTGGTTTGGAGCAGGTTGGTATAAAGCAGGTTGAGAGGATATAGCAGGTTAGTAGCGTCGGTTAGGCTGGTTTGGAGCAGGTTGGTATAAAGCAGGTTGACAGGATATAGCAGGTTAGTAGCGTCGGTTAGGCTGGTTTGGAGCAGGTTGGTATAAAGCAGGTTGACCAGATATAGCAGGTTAGTAGCGTTGGTTAGGCTTGTTTGGAGCAGGTTAGTATAAAGCAGGTTGACAGGATATAGCAGGTTAGTAGCGTTGGTTAGGCTGGTTTGGAGCAGGTTGGTATAAATCAGGATGACAGGATATAGCAGGCTAGTAGCGTCGGTTAGGTTGGTTTGGAGCAGGTTGGTATAAAGCTGGTTGACCGGATATAGCAGGTTAGTAGCGTTGGTTAGGCTGGTTTGGAGCAGGTTGGTATAAATCTGGATGACAGGATATAGCAGGTTAGTAGCATCGGTTAGGCTGGTTTAGAGCAGGTTGGTATAAAGCTGGATGACCGGATATAAATAGGTTAATAGCATTGGTTAGGCTGTGTTATGTCACAAGTGGTTTAAATGTGGAACACAACTGCAAATTATAAATGTCCTTATTTTTATTATAGAGAGTGAAATGAGAATCCTTTAATTAATAAGGTTACTGTAGCTTTAAGGCAGCGTGGCTTTTGCAGGTTGTTAGTTGAAGACATAAAGCATTAATAATTGTAATAGTATTTTAGCAGTAGCAGATTTTAGCAAGCAGGTAACAGTTCATTAGCAAAGTAAGAACTCAAAGATAGTATCAAATTGTATACTTATGATTGTTGGGAGTTGTCCTCCAAAGACAGGTTAGTTTGAGTCCACAGGATGATTAAACATCAAACAGTCCAGTTTCCAATAATTAGAAAGAGAGCAGGTAAATCCAATACTTGGTACGTGGTCAAAGGGAGATGAGAAGGCAGGAATCCGTTTAAACAGTCCAAGGTTCGGTACACAGTATTAACGGAGAAGAGCTTAGCCGGCAGAAATCACTAAGCAATTTTGAATCTAGCGCAGTCTCTCTATAAAGCTTGAGAGAGCTGCGTCAGAGAGGGGGCGGGGACGGTTCCGCATACCCGAAATGTCGGAACGGAGCCGAAAAGATAAGTCCTGACAGGCTGGTTTGGAGCAGGTTGGTATAAATCCAGATGACAGGATATAGCAGGTTAGTAGCATCGGTTAGGCTGGTTTAGAGCAGGTTGGTATAAAGCTGGATGACTGGATATAAATAGGTTAATAGCGTTGGTTAGGCTGGTTTGGAGCAGGCTGGTATAAATATAGCTTGGTTGCTTCATCTAAGTGTTGCTTCTAAGTGTGTAGTATGAGATATTCTGGAGAGTTTTACAGAAGCTTCAACTGTCTAAGAGTTGTGCTAAGATCTTTATTTTCTACTGTTACAGGTAAGATTCATCTTTAGGAAAAGGTTACTGATTGCACAAGGTTTGAATTCCTGTTGGTAATTATAAGGCATTTGATTAGATTACGTGCTTTTGATTGCTGTTTAAATTAGCTATTGTTTGCAAATAAGCAGAGGCTAGTGGGTGGTGATTTTAGGAGTTATATAAGGGCTGTTGTCATTAGCTTGGCTAATATAGCTTGGTTGCTTCATCTAAGTGTTGCTTCTAAGTGTGTAGTTGGAGATATTCTGGAGAGTGTTGCTTCTAAGTGTGTAGTTGGAGATATTCTGGAGAGTGTTGCTTCTAAGTGTGTAGTTGGAGATATTCTGGAGAGTGTTGCTTCTAATTGTGTAGTTGGAGATATTCTGGAGATAAACTGGAGGTAATCTGAGGTATTCAGAAGGATAGATAAAAAGTTAAGATTTGTTTGATTTAAATTATTCTCCTCATTGGAATGGCAGACTTAGTTCAGTGTAATAGTTGCTATGCATTTGTTTCACGTTCCACTTTTTGGAGGTTTGGTTGTTGTCTAATCTGTAGACAGTTCTCTATCTTGCGGCAGGAGATTGTATTTTTGAAGTCTGAGATTTGTAAATTATCTGGTGAACAAACCCAGACTGGATCTTCTGCAAAGCCACTGCTGCAGAGACATACTAGGAATGGCAGATGGATTACTGTAGGATCTGGTAGACTTAGAGTTGTGGATAAAAGGCATTTTGCACAGTCTGTTGCTCTTCATAATTAATTTTCTGCAATTTCAGAGTGCAATGGTGTTGTGGAGAGAGGCACTGAGGCTAGTGGTGTTGTGGAGACCGGCTTGGAGACTATGGTGAGAACTAATAGAAAGCAGTTGTTGTTGGGGGATTCCATTATAAGAGGTGTGGAGATGGACAATGGTGGTCTTGTGAGGTGTCTTCCTGGAGCTACTGCTCACAGAGACAGGAGACGTATCTGTAATATTGTTAAGCAAGCAAAGAAGGAAGGGGAATTTGATGTACTTGTCTATCTAGGGACAAATGACTTGGCTTGCAATGAGGTTTCAGAGGTTAAGGAAGTTTAGTGTTTTTGCCAATGATATACGGCAGGTTGCTTCCACACTGTCATTCTCTGAAGTTCTGCCTGTGCATAACACTCAGAACGACAGGCGGATGCGTATTAGGGACTTTAATTTGTGGCTGTGTGAAGTGTGTCGGGAGCAAGGATTTGGCTTTATTTCTCATGGTAGCTCTGTTTGGAATGGAAATAAGCTGTACAAAAAAGATGCTTTGCATCTTTCTCAAAAGGGAACAAATGTCCTCAGTGAGCAGTTCAGAGGTTTTGCTAGGATGTATTTAAACTAGGAGGGGGGGGCAAAAGGGTGATAAAACATCAATCCAATTGTCCCCCAAAACAAGGACAGAAGGTGCCCGTAGCAAGTGTGTTAAAAAATGATAAGCTTAGAGTCATGTCTACAAATGCTCGCAGTTTAGGAAATAAGATCCATGAACTTGTGGCAATAATGGCAACTGATAATGTAGATTTAGTCGCTGTTACTGAGACATGGTATAATGAGAAAAATGACTGGGACATAGCAATACCAGGGTACCCTTTATATAGAAAAGACAGGGAAGGCAAGAAAGGGGGAGGGGTGGCCCTGTATGTGAAGGATAGCATAAAATCTAGCCTAATAAAAGTTAGTGAGGCGAAAATAGAGTCCGTTTGGGTTACGTTAGAATTTGGTAATCACACAGGAACTCGTGTAGGTGTGATTTATAGGTCCCCAGGACAAATTGAAGAGTTAGATAATAGGAATTTTTTTCCTAGCTTGTTGCAAAATTGTGCTTCAAACTGGTTTTTTTTGCCTTCTTTTGGATCAACAGCAAAAAACAAATGTGAGGAAGGCTGAACTTGATGGACGCAAGTCTCTTTTCAGCTATGTAACTATGTAACTATGTAATACTAGTTGAGGAAATAGCTAAAATGACAATGAAGGGGGAAGTTATCATCATGGGTGACTTTAATCTTCCTGATGTAAATTGGAAAACAAAATTAGCTACTTGTGCCAGGAGCACACATATTCTAAACTCCCTACTGGGATTGTCTCTAAAACAAGTTGTTGAGAGCCAACTCGTAAAGAGGCCATACTAGATTTATGTCTTTAGGTATGTCTTTTTGCTGATGATACTAAGATATGTAACAGGGTTGATGTTCCAGGAGGGATAAGCCAAATGACAAATGATTTAGGTAAACTAGAAAAATGGTCAGAATTGTGGCAACTGACATTTAATGTGGATAAGTGCAAGATAATGCATCTTGGACGTAAAAACCCAAGGGCAGAGTACAGAATATTTGATAGAGTCCTAACCTCAACATATGAGGAAAGGGATTTAGGGGTGATTATTTCTGATGACTTAAAGGTAGGCAGACAATGTAATAGAGCAGCAGGAAATGCTAGCAGAATGCTTGGTTGTATAGGAGAGGTATTAGCAGTAGAAAGAGGGAAGTGCTCATGCCATTATACAGAACACTGGTGAGACCTCACTTGGAGTATTGTACACAGTACTGGGAGACCGTATCTTCAGAAGGATATTGATACCTTAGAGAGGGTTCAGAGAAGGGCTACTAAACTGGTTCATGGATTGCGGGATAAAACTTACCAGGAAAGGTTAAAGGATCTTAACATGTATAGCTTGGAGGAAAGACGAGACAGGGGGGATATGATAGAAACATTTAAATATATAAAGGAATCAACACAGTAAGGAGGAGACTATATTTAAAAGAAGAAAAACTACCACAACAAGAGGACATAGTCTTAAATTAGAGGGACAAAGGTTTAAAAATAATATCAGGAAGTATTACTTTACTGAGGTAGTGGATGCATGGAATAGCCTTCCAGCTGAAGTGGTAGAGGTTAACACAGTAAAGGAGTTTAAGCATGCGTGGGATAGGCATAAGGCTATCCTAACTATAAGATAAGGCTAGGGACTAATGAAAGTATTTAGAAAATTGGGCAGACTAGATGGGCCGAATGGTTCTTATCTGCCGTCACATTCTATGTTTCTATGTTTCAAATGGAGATTTGGTTTCAGATATTACTGTAGGTCAAAATTTAGGATCCAGTGATCATCAGTCAGTGTGGTTTATTATAAGAACAGTGACTGAGTCACACCACACAAAAACAAAAGTTTTAGACTTTAGAAAAGCAGACTTTTCTAAAATTAGAATATGGGTAGAGGAGTCATTATCAGACTGGAGCAATTTAAATGGAGTCCAAGAGAAATGGGATTATTTAAAAGTTTCAATATTGAAGGCAACATAAAATTGCATTAGGCTTGTCAGTAAAAGCTAAAAATTCAAGAAACCACTGTGGTACTCCACAGATGTGGCCAAAATAGTTAAAAACAAAAAGTTAGCATTTAGGAATTATAAAAAAACCCAGAGTGAGAAAGACCAAATTATCTATAAGATTAGGCAGAAAGAGGCTAAGCAAGTTATAAGAGCTTCCAAATCACACACTAGAGATGTCCTGAACAGTTCGCTGGCGAATAGTTCCTGGCGAACATCGCATGTTCGCGTTCGCCACGGCGGGCGAACATATGCGATGTTCGGTCCGCCCCCTATTCCATATCATTGAGTAAACTTTGAAAAAAACCCACCCGCCGCTCGGGGGTGGGGGTTGTCAAAGTTTACTCAATGATATGGGGGGGGACCTACTGTTCTCCCCCCGGCCCCCACCCCTGAGCGGTGGGTGGGGGCCCTAAAGAAAACAATAGGGGGGGAACTTCTGTCCCCCCCCGGCCCCCACCCCTGAGGGGTGGGTGGGGGCCCTAAATACTAAGAAGGGTGGGGACCTAAGGTCCTCCCCCCTGGCCCCCACCCCCACCCCTGAGCGGCAGGTGGGGGCCCTAAATACTAAAAAGGGGGGGACCTAATGTCCTCCCCCCCGGCCCCCACCACTGAGCGGTGGGTGGGGACAAATAAATCACAATGGGGGGAGACCTAAGGTCCTCCCTCCCTGGCCCCCACCCCTGAGCGGCGGGTGGGGGCCCTAAATACTAAAAAGGGGGGGGACCTAATGTCCTCCCCCCGGCCCCCACCCCTGAGCTGCGGGTGGGGGCCCTAAAAAAAATGTCCCCCTCCCCAGGTGACTAGGGGTCCCCAAACCCCTAGTCCCCCCCTCCCCCCCCAAAAAAAAATTAACCCCCTACCTACCCCCCTCACCCTAAAAATAATTAGGGGGGGGACCGTTAACTAAGTACCTGTAAAAAAAAAATTAAACTTACCATTCAAAAAGGCCAAATAAAAAACCATAATAACCGACGCAATAAAAAAATAAAATAAAAAAGAGCGCAAAAAAAAATAATCCATCTTCACCCGGCGAGGGCTCCGCGCAGACTGAGCTCTGCAGGGCGGGGGAAGGCTTATAAATTATAAAGGCTTATAAATTAGGCTCAGAGCACTCTGATTGGTGGGTTTAAGCCATCCAATGAGAGTGCTCTGACAGGTAAATGAAGAGACTGACAGGTAAGTCTCTACATTTACCTGTCACAGCACTCTGATTGGTTGGTTTGAAATCCACCAATCAGAGTGCTCTGTGTCATTTTACACAGCGTGGGAAAGTTCTTTGGACTTTCAATCCAACAATCAGAGTGTTGTTATGAGTCAAATTTTTTTTTTTTACAGGTACTTAGTTAATGGTCCCCCCCCTCATTATTTTTAGGGTGAGGGGGGTAGGTAGGGGGTTAATTTTTTTTTTGGGGGGTGAGGTGGTGACTAGGGGTTTGGGGACCCCTAGTCACCTGGGGGGGACACATTTTTGTTTTTAGGGCCCCCACCCGCCGCTCAGGGGTGGGGGCCAGGGGGGAGGACATTAGGTCCCCCCCCTTTTTAGTATTTAGGGCCCCCAACCATCGCTCAGGGGTGGGGGCAGGGGGGGAGGACAGTAGGTCCCCCCCTCATTATTTTTATGGCTCCCACCCACCGCGCAGGGGTGGGGGCGGGGGGAGGACAGTAGGTCCCCCCCCTCATTATCTTTATGGCCGCCGCCCAGGGGTGGGGGCCGGGGGGAGGACAGTAGGTTCCCCCCCCCATTGTAATTTATGGCCCCCACCCGTCGCACAGGGGTGGGGGCAATAGGTTTTTTGTTTTTTTTTACAGTGAGCAGCCACTGGCTGCTCAATGCTTACTAGACATGCCCCTACTCGCTGCATAGCGAGTAGGGGCAGAATTTACTAATACTAAGTAATCTTTACTTAGTATTAGTAAATGTGGCTGAAAGACCAATTTAGGTCTTTCAGCCTTTTAGTAGATAACTCCCTAATTCCCACGGTATTAGAGAGCTATCTACTAAGCGGCTGCAAGATGCAGCTGCGGATCGGAGTTTGCATGCCACAGTCCAGGTGTTATTCCCCTTGAAACAACTTTTCCATCACTATCACACACAGAAGAGAAAATAGCACAGTCAGTAAAAAAGGGGGATAAAACATTTTTTAGATACATAAATGAGAAGAAAAGTAAAACAAGGATTAGTTAGATTAAAAACAAAAGAAGGAAGGCATGTAGAAGAGGATAAAGGTCAGGCTGACTGCCTCAATGAATAATTTTTTTTGTTCTGTATTTACAGATGAAAATGAAGGAAAGGGACCTCTGTTGAGAAAAAGGATAAATGAGTCATTTATTACACATGAGTTTACAGAGGAAGAGGTTCTATTTCAACTGTCAAAAGTACAAAAGTAAAGACAAATAAGTCAATGGGACCTGATGGAATACACCCAAAGCTATTAAAAGAGCTTAGTGGTGTACTAGCAAAACCATTAACAGATTTATTTAACCAATCATTGTTAACAGGAGTAGTCCCAGAAGATTGGAAGTTAGCGAATGTTGTGCCCATTTACAAGAAAGGTAATAGGGAGGAGTCGGGCAACTATAGGCCAGTAAGCCTTACTTCAGTAGTGGGGAAAGTGATGGAAACCATGTTAAAGGATAGGATTGTTGAACATCTAAAAACACATGGATTTCAAGATCAGAGACAACATGGGTTTACTTCAGGGAGATCATGCCAAACTAATCTTATTGATTTTTTTGATTGGGTAACTAAAATTATAGATCAGGGTGGTGCAGTAGACATTGCTTACCTAGATTTCAGTAAGGCTTTTGACACTGTTGCACATAGAAGGCTTATCAATAAACTGCAATCTTTAAGTTTGGATTCCAATATTGTTGAATGGGTAAGGCAGTGGCTGAGTGACAGGCAACAGAGGGTTGTAGTTAATGGAATATATTCGAAGCTTGGACTTGTCACCAGTGGGGTACCTCAGGGATCTGTACTTGGACCCATTCTCTTTAATATTTTTATTAGTGATATTGCAGAAGGTCTTGATGGTAAGGTATGTCTTTTTGCTTATGATACTAAGATATGTAACAGGGTTTATATTCCAGGAGGGATAAGCCAAATGGCAAATGATTTAGGTAAACTAGAAAAATGGTCAGAATTGTGGCAACTGACATTTAATGTGGATACGTGCAAGATAATGCATCTTGGACGTAAAAACCCAAGGGCAGAGTACAGAATATTTGATAGAGTCCTAACCTCAACATATGAGGAAAGGGATTTAGGGGTTATTATTTCTGATAACTTATAGGTAGGCAGACAATGTAATAGAGCAGCAGGAAATGCTAGCAGAATTCTTGGTTGTATAGGGAGAGGTATTAGCAGTAGAAAGAGGGAAGTGCTCATGCCATTGTACAGAACACTGGTGAGACCTCACTTGGAGTATTGTACACAGTACTGGAGACCGTATCTTCAGAAGGATATTGATACCTTAGAGAGGGTTCAGAGAAGGGCTACTAAACTGGTTCATGGATTGCGGGATAAAACTTACCAGGAAAGGTTAAAGGATCTTAACATGTATAGCTTGGAGGAAAGACGATACAGGGGGGATATGATAGAAACATTTAAATATATAAAGGGAATCAACACCGTAAAGGAGGAGATTATTTTTAGTTAAAAGAAGAAAAACTACCACAACAAGAGGACATAGTCTTAAATTAGAGGGACAAAGGTTTAAAAATAATATCAGGAAGTATTACTTTACTGAGAGGGTAGTAGATGCATGGAATAGCCTTTCAGCTGAAGTGGTAGAGGTTAACACAGTAAAGGAGTTTAAGCATGCATGGGATAGGCATAAGGCTAGGGACTAATGAAAGTATTTAGAAAATTGGGCAGACTAGATGGGCCAAATGGTTCTTATCTGCCGTCACATTCTATGTTTCTATGTTTCTAATCCAGATGACAGGATATAGCAGGTTAGTAGCATTGGTTAGGCTGGTTTAGAGCAGGTTGGTATAAAGCTGGATGACAGGATATAAATAGGTTAACAGTGTTGGTTAGGCTGTTTTGGAGCAGGTTGGTATAAAGTTGGTTAACAAGATATAGCAGGTTAGTAGCTGTGGTGGAACCAGCCTCGTCACTGGGCATTGGAGAAGACTGATTGCCAGCCTCCTGCCATGTGACTTTGGCTCCTGGGATGTATTGCCTGCTCTCCTGTACTGCTGAGGATTGCTACCAACTAGGTGGATTTGGCTATGGAGCTTGTGTAGTGCCCTCTGTTGGTAGCAACAGTAATATGCACTACCTGAATAGCAAGACTGGTAATTTGCATATTCGGGTAGATTTGCATATCGCAAATTCTGCGTGCAGGAGAGACATTTTGTGTTAATTATGGTCTT